GCAACACGGTACATAAGAGCATACAACACAAAGCGACCACCAGTGAACAAAAACTCAGGTTAGGACAAATCAGCTTCTACGCAGGCAACTAAACGTATGAGCAATGTTAAACTGATATCTGAGCCCCTGCGTGGGCAATCACTTGCCTTACTACAAACCCATTTGATGTATGACTTTATATTGTGCACACAATAAAAATATTCAAAACAATCAGAGTGCTCTGACAAGTAAATGAAGAGACTCACAGGTAAGTCTCTACATTTACCTGTTACAGCACTCTGATTGATTGGCTTGAAATCCACCAATCAGAGTGCTCTGTGTCAAATTACACAGCGTGGTAAAATTCCAAAGAACTTTCCCACACTGTGTAAAATGACACAGAACACCCTGATTGGTTAGATTCCAAGCACACCAATCAGAGTATTATGAGTCAAATTACACAGCATGGGAAAATTCCAAAGAACTTTCCCACGCTGTGTAAAATGACAAAGAGCACTCTGATTGGCTTAAACCAACCAATCAGAGTGTTCTTAGCCTAATTGCAGGGCAGAGCAAGGCTTTATAAGCCTTCCCCCACCCTGCAGAGCTCAGTCTGCACGGAGCCCTCCATGGGTGAAGATGGATTATTTTTAGCGTCTGTTTTTTTTTTTGTTTTTTTTTTTAAGTTCGACAGGTATGAAGTTTTTTTATTTGCTCTTTTTTGGGGCTGAAAAATTAAGATTTTAGAAGAAAGAAGACATCAAATGGTAAGTTTTATTTTTATTTACAGGTTAGTTATTTTATTCCCCCCTCTCTATTTTTAGGTTGAGGGGGATAGGTAGGGTATAGTTTTTACTTGGGTGGGTGACTAGGGGCTTGGGGACCCCTAGTCACCTTTGAAGGGGGGGAATTTGTCTTAGGGCAACCACTCGCCACCAAGGGGTGGGGGCCGGGGGGAGCACGGTAGTTCCCCCCCTCATTATCTTTATGGCCCCCACCCACCACTCAGGGTTGGGGGCGGGGGGGAGGACAGTAGGTCCCCCCCTATCATTATCTTTATGGCCCCCACCCACCGCTCAGGGGTGGGGGCCATGGGGGAGGACATTAGGTCCCCCCCAATTTTTATTTAGGGCCCCCACCCACCGCTCACGGGTGGGGGCCAGGGGAGAGGACATTAGGTCCCCCCCAATTTTTATTTAGGGCCCCCACCCACCACTCATGGGTGGGGGCAAGAGGGAGGACATTAGGTCCCCCCCTTATTTTAATTTAGGGCTCCCACCTGCCGCTCAGGTATGGGGGCCAGGAGGGAGGACAATAGGTCCCTGTAAAGGATCCTTCTATTCGTGCAGCGATGATCCTTGCAGCTTCTCCCGAAATCCAGCTGAAACGAAGTGATTATAACTCCCAATCCCCCAAACATGAGTCGAGACTTCATGAAGGGGTAAAACGATCTGATTTACTGTGGGCTACCCGCCCGGTATTTATGCAGGTCTTCCACCTGGTGGACACTCCCCTAGGGGACCAGATGGAAGACTGGGACAAAAGTAACACAGTAGCCAATCACAGTGGCTATAGCATAAGCACTCCCCTTTTACATAAATCACTCCCTCTTTTCCATCCTGGAGATAATTAACTTAAGGTAGCAAAGAGAGCCTTAATTATCTCCAGGAAGAAAGAAACATGGCTTTTCTTATTTTAGCAAAACAGCATAAAAATATATAACTTTCTTTTTACACAACATAAACTTTAAGTTCCACATATCCCCAGATAGCTTGGATCTGAGTGCATATTCTAGGCGAATAGCGCTCAGATCCCACGAACACAGTTCTCAGAATCGTCGACTGAAGTTTGACTTTCACCGGCCGTTCGTGTGTTTGTAGCCAACTGCAAGTTCCATACGATAGCTATCTGGGGTCGGTCACTTTTGCATACTTTCAGTGCACGAATGAAGTAGTCTCCCCTTCATTCGTGTGTTTTTCCACCATATGAACGAGGATGGGAGAAGGTAGCAGCGGTGTTCGACAAAACAAGTAGCTGAAATCAGTTCCAGGGAATCCTCGCCATTTACCGCTGCGCATTCGACAATACAAAATGGCGATTGCCACGTGTTCGGTAAACGAACACGGACCACCAGCTATTCCCCAATTAGTCTGTGGTTAACCGCAACAGTCAGGGTGGTCAATAGGCGCCACACGACCTCAGTGGGAGGTCGGTGGTTCGGTAGTTTATTCGCTTTTATTGCTATTTCCACGAAATCCCGCTGTAATCCTCCAAATAACCGAACAGGCTTGTTCGTATGGTCTGTAAATGGGGGATTTCGTTACAGTCCCCCCCTTATTCTAATTTAGGGCCCCCACCCACCACTCAGGGGACAATAGGTCCCTCCCCTTATTCCAATTTAGGGCCCCCAACCACCGCTCATGGGTGTGGGCCGGGTGGGGGCCGGGGTGAGGACAATAGGTCCCCCCCTTATTTTACTTTAGGGCGGGGGCTCAGGAGGGGGAACCTTTTTTTTTTGACACACAGACACACACACTCAGATACACTGACACAAAGATACACATTCTGTCACAAAGATATACACTCTGTCACAAAGATATACACACACTGGCACATACACACACTCAGATTCACACACTGACAGATACACTGGCACAAAGATACACACACTGGCGCAAATATACACACACCCAGATACACATTGGCACACAGATACACACACTGGCACACAGATATACACACTGGCACATACAACACTGACAGATACACTGACACACAGATAAACACACTGGCACAAATATACACACACATACACACTGGCACATAGACACACACTATAAGATACACTCACACACTGGTACACATACACAGATACACACACTGGCACGTAGGCACAAAGATACACACAATGACATGTGACACATATACACACTGACACACAGATACACACACTGGCACATACACAAACATACACACTCAGTTACACACACTGACAGATACACAGTCATTTTTACACTGGAACAAAGATATACACACACTGGCACACGGACACACTGGTATGTACACACACACATTGACAGATATACTGACATATAGATACACACACATTGGCACATACACACACTGGCACATACACACACACATACACACACAAACACACTGGCACATACAATCACACAGTTGCACACACTTACACACTCACACATACAGATACATACACACACTGACAGATACACTGACACACAAATACACACTGGCACATACACACAAAGATACACACACTGGCACATACAAACACTGACAGATATGCTGACACATACACACACACTAACACACAGATGTAAACACTGGCACATACACACATTGTCACACAGATACTTACAGTGACACGAACACAGATACACACACACTCACATATACACAGTACACAGATACATACACACACATGCAGGTATTTTCAGTCACCCTCTTGTTAGATTACCTTTTTTCCTGTAGGAGGGTGACTTGCTTGGAGTGCTGCAGGCTGCTGGCTGAGGCTGGTGTGCTGCTCACTCCTCACTGCTGCATATTCTTCCCGTCCCGCTTGGCGCGCTCTGTCTGGGAGGAAGTGACAAGCTGCCAGTTCCTCCCAGCATTCCATGCTACAGTGGCCTGGTCGTGGTCTTAAATGGCCACGGCGCCTGACTGGGCCCCTCTTCAGTGATGCTGATTGGGTGGCTCTAAATGCTCGGGCCACCCGATCAGCAAATTGCTGCAGAACCCCAATTTTGTTCTGCGGAACACCAATTGGGAAACGCTGCTCTAAGGAATATTTATCAGACTCCCGTTTCTGGGTCTGTTTCATTGTAATAGATTACAATTATCTAGTCCAATCCCAGGGTGGGGTCTGCTCTCAACAAGATTAGAAAGAAAAAGATTCACTAAACAGTTACTTTCCATATAGACAATTTAAAATGGGGATATCAAGAGAGTATTGCCACATTAAGGATGATGCTAATTATAGAGAGGGGACTAGGGATAGTTATAGGAGGTTACAGCGCCCACACATTGGAGTCTGATTCATTATCTCTAGAGGGATTATTGATACTCCCATAACGTTAATAGACACCCTAATTTAATTGGTAAACAGAGTTACACTTTAAAAGGATAAGACTAAAGTGAAGTGGCTGTTCCACTAGAGATGGAGAAATTTGGACATCCACTTCACCAAATGATATCTCTAGATTATTACAATAATTGTTAGGTATAACCTTTATTAAGCCGACTAGGCAAAGCAAAAACGATAAATAATAATAAAGTAGTAGTGAAACACTCGTGAAAAAACACGTGAAGTAAAAAGTGGGTAGATGTGGTTTGGATATCCTCAGTATGTATTGGGGTAATTTGGATAACTTAGCTGAGAACACTAGTAACCAGTACAGTATAGTACCGTGTATGTTCAGTCACATATCACATAATTACTCCCCCTAAAGTCTACAGGGATCTAAAAATCCCAACTATATAGAGGTACATCCACAGAGATTCCCATAGACACTAGTATATTTTCACAGCATACACTTTCAGTTTAGATAAATAGTATCCATATAAATTAAGCTTATCATACAGATTTATCCAAAGTGTTGCAGGTAAAGACAGAGTCTAGGGAGAAGCTGAGAGACACTGTATGTATAGTGTGTTACTCAGTATTTAGGTAGTCATCACAGTAAGTAAAGACTTACATAGATCTAGACAGATAGTTTGAGTAAAAGCTTTGCAGCCTGGACGTTGAGGCCTTGTACTCTTCAATTCCCCATGAACGGGGCATTCAACACACGAGATACTTTCTAGATCAGAGAGGTCCCAATCATATTTGCCATACCGAATTTGTACTAAAACTATTAGGCTATATTTTGTCGCATAACTACTTTTTATTTCATGACAAATTCTTTCACCAGATAAGGGGGACGGCGATGGGTACGGCGTGTGCGCCCTCCTACGCCAATCTCCACTTAGGCTGGTGGGAGTTACAGACCATGAAATCCAGTACCCTCTCGAGCTATATACCTAAAATACATACATGGCTTAGGTATATAGATGATATCTTTATTGTATGGCTGGGTGATGAAGAAGATTTCAATAAGTTTGTCTCTCTACTGAATATAAACGAAGATAATTTAAGATTTACAGCAGAATTTGGAGGACATACATTGAATTTTCTAGACATAACCATTTCCATCAACAGGAATGGATCTTTGAAAACAACTCTTTTTAAGAAGCCAACAGCATCCAATGCATTCCTTAGTTGGGATAGCTTCCATCCTAGGCCTCTTAAACAAGGCATTCCTGTAGGACAATATCTGAGGGTACGTAGGAATTGTACAGACCTATCAGACTTTAAGGTAAAAGCAGCTTTACTGAGACAACAATTTCGGGAAAAAGGTTACCCGAATAAATGCCTCAAGAAAGCGTACAAAAGAGCCATAGAATTAAACAGAGATGACCTTATTCTAGACCAATCTAAGCAAAAATCGTTGAATAAGACTATCCGTATGATTGGAACCTTCGATACAGGATGGAATACAGTGAAAAGGTCGATTGAGAAATTCTGGCCCATCCTTTTAAAGGATGTCCATCTTAAAGACGTCCTTACCCCTAGGGCAACTATTACAGCACGCAGGGGGAGAAATCTTCGTGATATGTTGGTACCAAGCCACTTTTCAGTGAAACAGAAGAAAACGAGTTGGCTGGGTCGAAATCCCCCCTGTGGTTCCTATGGATGCGGAAGATGCGTCGCATGCAAGTACATTCTTCGGGACTCGAAGAAAGTCCAAGATAGTGCTGGACAACAGAGTTTTGGGATCACCCAGTTCTTTAACTGCAACACTGCTGGTTTAGTATACCTCCTTACCTGTAGTTGCAAAATGATGTATGTAGGAAAAACGTTTAGACCCTTTAAGGAACGGATCAAAGAACATGTAAGATCCCAAAAAAACCGCATGGAAACCCCAATTTCAAGACATCTAAAAAACTGCCATGCGGGTGACCCTAGTGCAATCAGGTTTTGTGGACTAGAGTGGGTCAAACGCGACCAGAGACGAGGAGATTATGATAAACTTCTACGCCAAAAAGAATGTAGATGGATATATAAACTAAAAACCCTTAACCCCAATGGTTTGAATGAAGGGTTTTCATTTTCTCCCTACATTTAAGCCTTGCCATTTAGTGTTTAATCACCAAATATACTCTAGTTGGAGTAATCACTATCAACTACACACCCTGTAAATATGTCTGTATATATCTGTATAATATAATAGAAATCCTTTTTGTCTATACTATATTTTTCTGTGATCTACGTTTATAATAATTTTTTGGTATCTATACCTTATACCTGGCACGCATTTAGTCCATTGGGACCCTGATCATTTCAGCTATTTTGCCATTATGGGAATAATATCTATTTAATGTCTAATTCACCTTTATGGTGGAACAGTGTTTGATAAATGCATTTAGTAGACTCTTATCTAATTGGGTCTTATGCTTAATGAGTGCTGTTAACACCATGATATGACTTAGGAGTTTATATCACCATTATAGTGACTGATAGATCGAAATAAGCAATGAGTTATGACTGCATTTTGAGCCTTATAATTGACTCTGTGTTACATGTTTCTCTTTCCTTTTACAACATAGATGCCTTGCTGAATGAAGGCTAACTGTATCTATCAGAACGCACTTAATTAACTCCTACTGTATAGCTAATAATGTAGAAAATAGACCCTTAAGAGGTGTCTCTGTACTGCATGTGTATGCAGTCAGCCTGTTACTATGGCGATATTTGACGCTCCTTGTGAGCACACGTGATCTGTAGATGGACAGACTTGTTGAAAGAGGAGGACGCGATCGGGTCATAGCCACGCCCCCAACTAAGCCGATTGGACACACAACCATATGGGCGGCACGCTTCCCGATATAAATTTACCCTCCTTCCTTCAGCCGTGCTAGGTGCTCTTGATAAAGGCGTGTGATCACGCCGAAACGCGCGTCGAGCGTTTGCCGGTCTTTTGTTTTTACTAGTGGGGGATGTGAATAGTGATTTAGTCACTACAACTGGGGGACATTTAGATTATCTATTTTGACTATTTAGCTGGCATTATTCTTTTTAAGCCATAATTAGGGTCATTACTAGGACTCTCTATATACCTAGTTAGAATATACAGCTAGTGATCTTTAGTGTTAGGCTGCCTTGAAGCAGCAGTGTGCAGCATTCATAGGAGTCTTCAAGCAGCAGTGTGTAGTATAGACATGAGCTGGATCTAGCAAGTGCAGGTAGTCTCGATATATTGAAGTGCTCTATATTTTGAAGTGCTCTTTTGTGCTGTTGGGTGGGCACCTCTATATATCTATATAGGAACTATGTAAGTTTATCCATCCTTTAAGACATCTGCATATTAACCTCCAGGACTTTTTTACTCAAACTATCTGTCTAGATCTATGTAAGTCTTTACTTACTGTGATGACTACCTAAATACTGAGTAACACACTATACATACAGTGTCTCTCAGCTTCTCCCTAGACTCTGTCTTTACCTGCAACACTTTGGATAAATCTGTATGATAAGCTTAATTTATATGGATACTATTTATCTAAACTGAAAGTGTATGCTGTGAAAATATACTAGTGTCTATGGGAATCTCTGTGGATGTACCTCTATATAGTTGGGATTTTTAGATCCCTGTAGACTTTAGGGGGAGTAATTATGTGATATGTGACTGAACATACACGGTACTATACTGTACTGGTTACTAGTGTTCTCAGCTAAGTTATCCAAATTACCCCAATACATACTGAGGATATCCAAACCACATCTACCCACTTTTTACTTCACGTGTTTTTTCACGAGTGTTTCACTACTACTTTATTATTATTTATCGTTTTTGCTTTGCCTAGTCGGCTTAATAAAGGTTATACCTAACAATTATTGTAATAATCTAGAGATATCATTTGGTGAAGTGGATGTCCAAATTTCTCCATCTCTAGTGGAACAGCCACTTCACTTTAGTCTTATCCTTTTAAAATTATTTTGTGGGGTTATGCCCCTTGATATCTCTGTAACCCTTCTTTGGAATTAGCGATGTGGACTTAGTCCACCTCTATTTTTCCTTTCTTGTTCTAGAGTTACACTTTATGTCAGTTTTCATTTTGGCACCTAATAAATAAAGCCTAATAAACTACTGAATAAGTAACACAGTGAATGACTCTGTTACCACGTTGTATCTATTTCCCCTCATTCTATCACAGCTGCATTCACTCTAAAGTGAACTGTAAAGTGTTCCTTGTAAATACCAATCTAGGGATCTCCTCCTGGGATCTCTTGTATCCTTTTTACAGACACATGTTTATTTGTACAAAGCAAATAGGAATGGATACTTTTTAACAAACTAGGCAATATTTTTAGCATTTTGTAGTGACATGCATGGGATCTTGCAGAGTTTCTTTCTCATGAAAGAGTGGGACAATATCCAACCTTTTCAAGAATTCACCAATTCTTGAGAAACTGAAAAGCAAGACTATTGTCACGAGTACCGAGTAATTTCACTTCTATGGAAAAATAGATAAACTATTGCCTCTCTTCATGGTTTATGCCTTTTTATGTGAGGTTTACTTTGTATTCCTTTATTTGTCACTCAGTGGAGCTTACCACTTTCACAATTTCATCTTAATAAGTGCGGTTTACTTACTGTGGTACTGAATACTCAGACGATTGGTGGGTATGACATCACCCAAGCAAGCTGTATCCCCTGTATCTACTAGGACTACATCACTCCAGTCCTCCACTCAATCCAATGCTAGGGTCTGCCAAGCATGTCACTTTCTGAAGCTCCCTTTGACTACTCTTTATAGACTGCTTTATTCATATAAATGTGCACAAACATGTCATCCTCGCACATGCCTCAGAGCACACACGTGGTTATTATTAGCTCATTCCATAGTGTAGCCTTTGTATTGTCAATATGTATCCTCATATGGATCCATAATGTTGTTTTACTCTTATTAGTGAATTATTGGAAATTCTGGAATTTGATAGTTGTTATGGAAAGATGGTTGATACTCTTATAAAAACTGCAAAAGGGTCCCCAAATAGAGTCACTCCACTTTTTCATTGACCAGAGACTGTGGGTTCTTTTTGGCATGACTGTAGGTTTTCCTTTCTTGCTATCAAATCCTATGACTAGCCATAGCGGGGTGGTGGGATTTAAATTGGTGGGATATTTACTTTGTTCTTCTAGGAGAGGGATTTCAGACCAGCTCAAATCAACTTTCCTGCCCTGCCTTAAGTCCCCATTATGTTTACCCTCCTTTGCCATTGTCTAATGCCCTGAGTTATATACATTTTATTATGTATATGCACCCTGTGATCAGGCCTATTGATCACTATATGTTCCAACTGCACTACGTTCTGGTATGTATTGCAAATGGGGCTTGAGCTGCTAATTTTCCAGAGTGATTCCTGCCAATTAGATACTCTTAAGGAACAATCATTGCTGCTCATTTTGGCATTTGGCATCAGCATGTACCGTAGGTGGATGCCAAATGCTGTGTTCCTTTAGTATAGCGTGGATTCAGTGCTTCTCAAAAGGAAAAATAGATTGGTGGATTGCAATGATGGCTTCACATTCGTCACTTCACTGTGTGTCTTCAATGCTTCTCTATCATCTGACTGGACAAAGGTCAGTAGTCTTGATCACATCACTGAGCTGGATTACAGGTAAGTGTTTTAATGATTTTAATAATTTAAAAATAAAGCCCAATATTACAAAAATAAGGAATACATGTAATTAAAAAAGTGTTGCTGTAAAGTTTAATCACATATACAGGTGTCAAGATTTGCTCTACCTCCAAGACAATTTGTGATGTTGTCTGATATTCTTCCCCCACAGTCAACTATGACAGCTACCAACATACTCACATACTCTCTGAAACACATGCACTCATACACTAATACCTACAAGTATATAAATGTGCCTATTCATAAGCTTTCACTGTGGCACCTACCCATATACACTTTAATGCCTATCTACTCACACTGGCACCTGGAACACAAATACCTGCACACTCACACCTATTCACTAACACTAAATTGTATTTATATCAGCACACTGCACATGTCTTCCGCTCTGAAACCTAACTACCATTTATGACACTTTCTAACACGTTTGCAAAAGAGGAAAATTATTAGGCAGGGCCACGGAGGAGAACAGGGAATTTGGTGCCTTAAGTAATGACTTGTAAAGTTCAAGATTAAATAGTTGAATTTGAAAAGAAAAAAAAATGGCAAATAATAACAATGTTCTTCACAATTAATTCCTGAATATTATCCCTTAACAACCCTTCAAATATTTTCCCAGCCATAGAAGTTAAGCTCACAGGTCTATAATTTCCAGACAAAGATTTTGAACCCTTTTTGAATAAAGGAACCACATCTGCCTTCCTCCAATCCTTCGGTACAATTTCTGAAAGAAAAGAATCTCGAAAGATTAAATACAAAGGTTCACTTATTTCCACACTGAGAAACATTATGCAATGTCAATCGACAGTTGCTAAGGCCAGTAAGGTATTGCCATGTATAAATAGGGGCACTAATTCTCAGGATGAGAATATAATTTTGCCTCTTTGTAAATCACTGGTTAGACCACTTTTCTTACTCTGGGAAATGTTGGGCACCTGTTTTAAAGAAGGATTTTATGGCACTAGCAAAAGTGCAGAGGCAGGCTACAAAATTGATAAAAGCATTTTAGTTATGAAGAAAGGTTAAGACATTTTATTTCTTTAGTTTGGTAAAATTGTGCCTCAGAGGGGAAATGATTGCATTACAAATTGTCTGGAAATCTGTTCATAAACATGACTATACTTAGGATGTAAGGTTATGCATTTTGACTGAAAGAAAGGAGATTAAGTCTCAGGCAAAGGAAAGGTTTTTTTTACAGTAAGAACAATAAGGATATGGAATTATTTGCCGGAAGAAGTGGTTTTATCAGAGTCCATACAGATGTTTAAACTGCAATTGGATAAATACTTGCAAAAACATAATATACAGGGATATAATTTTTAATTAGTGGGGTAATAGCTTCTTGATCCAAGAAAACATCTGACTGCCAGAATGGGGTCAAGAAATGAATTTTTTTCCTGATTTTTTGTAAAATTGGAAGCACTTCAGACTGTGTTTTTTTTCCCTTCTTTTGGATCAACAGCAAAAACAGATTTGAGAAAGGCTGAACTTAATAGATGCATGTCTCTTTTCAGCTATGCAACTATGTAATATTACAATTTCATATAAATAGCTGGAGGGCCAAAGGAAAGGGGTGGGGGTGGTGTAAAATAAAACTATACAGTGAGATTTCTGGAACTTTATTGTATAGTCCATATAGAATGTTAATTGCCTTTCTTTGTCCAAACTAAGTCACTAGAACTTGTTGTATGGTCAATAAATGAAATTAACATAGTGGTTTTTCATATTTTAACACAGGAATGTAAAAACGGGGCTCACATCTTGAATACCATTCCCTAAGCAGGGAAAAAAACAGACATTAAAAAATGGTGTTTACTCACGGACATCTGAAAGTTCTCATCATTGCTTAATTGTTGTCTTCTAATATTTCTCTTTACTGCTAACTGCATTTATAATACTTTTGGTTACACCATATTGCATGTTTGTTTATTTTATTCCTTTCTTGGTTAATTTAATTTAGGCCTATAACTAATATATATATATTCTCATTCAAATAGTTTTAAAACAATAACGTGGCACAAGGTATGCCGGGTGTGTAAAGTGACAATCTTCCATGTCTCCATGTGGGTACCTCTCTCTGCTTAATATCTTGTTGAATATAATAAGCTTGGAAATGAGCTGCTATTAAATATACCTGATTGTATATAGCATGTACTATGTGAAATTTAGTTGGTAATGTTTTAAAAACAAATGTTTTTGATAGTTATTAATTCACCTATATTTACACATCTCTGGTTAGCATGTGTAATAATCTAAACAAAATTGTAAAAACTATCTCAAAAGCAAGCGCGGTACATTTTATTAGAGTGTGCTTTCAGTGATGTTTATTTTTTTCTTTTCTATGTAATAAGCTATCACTTATTAATAGCTTATTATACATAAATTCAAAACGAAAAATCACTGAAAGCACACTCTAATAAAATGTACTGCACTTGCTTTTGTGATAGTTTTTACAATTTTGTTGAGATTATTACACATACTAACCAGAGATATACAAATAAACATTAATTGGTTAACTTGGCAGGTATCTAAATTGTATTGACAATTGTTTAAAAATCTACACAACAATTTATAAAGCAGTACATTACA